TTCGTGCTTGGTGTTTACTTGAAAGACCCTGCAAGATTAGAGATGATGGTGTAAACAGCTATCAACCAAGTGTTCTCCCTGAAATCCTAAACAACAAGGATGGACAGTCTTGTGATCGTAACCAGGCTGAAAGAACTGTGCTTCCCATTTTAATAATTAGCTGTAATACAAGTTAAGAATTGTGGCAGGGCTGGTAGAAAGCTGTTCTTTCAACTGGAAAGGATGATGGAAGTAGTCTGGGTAGCCCAGGACAGCATTCAGACAGAGAAAGCGAGGAGTGCTAAGCAGAGGAAGAAAAAGCCCTTCAGTATAAAAAGTACAGAAAGGCACCAAGAAGAACAAGCAACTCAGATCAAGCATGATATGTTCTATGCACAAGACACTGAGAGCAACTAACAGAACAATGTTAGTTTCATTGGAGCTTCAGATGGAAGAGACATTCTGAAGTGGAGACAGATCATCTGGAGAATTCAGCCCAGACACAGTTCATTCAGCTATTGCTCAGGCAGGCAGGGACACTGGGCACAAGGGAAAAATCTGTATTAGTACCAAGAAGGGTAGATGAGAGCATCCTGAACCGAGAGGGATAAGATGCTGCTTGGGTTAGCTGTACATAATCCACATGAGAGGATTTTTCTCATGAACCTGGGGTTCTCATCCTAGAAGCAGGCATTCAACTACTGGGATGTTCAAAGCTATAAAGTCATTCTAAGCTCTGATTAAACTGAGTTACTAAGCATCCACAGCACATCAGAGAGTGGAAAAATGTTGATTACTCATGTGACTGTATATCTTCAATAGACACGTATGAGTAATAAGGTAAATGATTCTGTGCTATTAAAACCTCTGCTAAAAACAACACATAATCTATCCTTTGCAATATGCCAGTTACGTAACTCTACATGACTATAAATCTAACATTGTTTGCCATGCTTCATTAGTATTTAACACAAATGGTCTGCATTGACAAAAAACATCCAGTCATAAATATCGCCACTGTTATATTGAACATTTGGGAAAAGGCCTTAGTTTTAAAATATTTATATGTAGCTTAATTAAAAAACCAGAAGAATATCACTGACTCAATCACACCACATAGGTCTATAACATAGCAGGTTGGAATCTCAGGCTTCTTTACAGTACTCAAGAAAACCTGAAGAAAACTCAGACAGATAACTTACTGAAGTGTAGGTCCATGTGCTTTTTAAGCCCCTTCTGCCTTCACGTACCTTTCTTTGCACTTTGTCTAAGTCTATACGTGTAAGTTCCATAGCTGTATCACATAAAGAGCGAATAGCAAGTAAGCTACAACCGGCCCTTCAGACTCGATTAGCAGTAGGTATAAAACACATTGTGCACTGGACAAACACAAACTAAGCAACTTTATCCAGCAATGAATAGCTGATTAAACAGAAAGAACACTTTTCTAAACGTAGTCATAGCAATGTCATGAAAATAAAATTAATTTCTTAGGCAGAACTAAGAAAAACAAACCCATTTTTAATTTTGATGCAGCTTTAAAAGTCTGCGTTCATGTCCATTTTCAGATGTACAAAGTCCTCATACCATTGAAATAATGCTTTTAAGTCCATAAAACCTGACCTCCTTGACAGTTAAGCAGCTGCACAGAATTCTAGAGTTGATAAATTCGAAACCTCAGACTGAGCACAGACTTGACCACAAACTCCCTGTGCAATACTAAAGTGAACCTGGCTAGAGATACGAACAGCAGCATATGCAATGTAACTGCAGAAAGGCAATCTTTGTACTAGAAAACTACATACTAAAATAGCCCAAACATTTCTGCATACATTCTTCTGAATGACAGAGAAAATACAGAGACATGGAGCTCAACACGCTTAGCTTATCAAAATTAGATAGAAGAGCTACTGCTTTATGGCAGTATTTATTTTAGGATACTGATAGCTGGCAGAAAGAACCAGGCACAAATAAAATAGAACCAATACATGTGTGCATATGTATTTTTAAAAAACCTCTTTATATCTTCATTCAAAGCAAGAACGAGCACTTTCTGGAAGATACGCATCAAGCACAACAAGCAGAACATTGCAATGAGACAAATAAAAAGTTCAACAGAAACAAGTCTGAAGGGATTATACCAGCAGACAGGCAGAATAGAGAAACACCAACAGCGCACGTATTTAGGAGAGCTTCTGGCAATTTAATAAATCTATATGCAATCCATATGCAATGTATAGAATTTTTAGGTATTTGTACAACAGTCCCTGTGTATTTAACCCACCCCTTTGCTGATACATACTTTTTAAGCCTGCTGTAGCTGCTCAGTAGTTACTTTGATTTAACACAATTTCTTAAAACATATTAAGATTAAAAGACACCTTTCAGGAAAAGGCCCAGTGTGCATGTGTCAAGCCCACAGAACCACTTTGCAATCTGTGTGTATACCACACAGGTGTCACGTACTCATTTCTAACTTCCTGTCTTCACAACCGTGTTAGCCCACATGAGAAGAAATTAACAAAACCAAATATGACAAAATGCCTTCAAATATCAAAGGTGTCTTTCCATTTTTAAGCTGGTAAACTTTACACAACTACAAAAAAATAATATAAAGACCCAGTTATTTTTCTGGTATCGGTTCTCAGATGTTTTCTTACTGAGCCACTTTACTCCCACACCATGAAGTTCAGGTGCACATATGAATCACTGGCCCCAGAAATATCTCTGGTTTCTCCATCGCTTTATGGGCAGTCCATTTCAGACTAAATTAGCTGCTTTGCACAATGAGCCAAAACATTTACAACTACTTCCAGGCAGTTGAAAATGACAAAATTCAGCTAGCACAGATGCTTTTAAGGCATGATCGTTAATAACCTAAACCACAACCACCTAACACTACAAACTTTTTTATGTTTGTGCTGAAAACACCTACCTTAGTACACTCTATGGTCAGCTTATCACAAGAGTTGACTTCCTAGTCAAAATACTAGTGTCTCTCTTTCTACGACTGGCTCTTCCTTTAAGCAAGTGGTCGGCACAGGAAATACTTGTGTCCGGCAAGCTTACCTTCCAGTAAGTCTCTCGCCAGACCTGGTTCTGCCCCTGTGGACCGAACAAAGTCTGACAGGACTGCATCCATATCAAGAGTCATGAGATCATTCAGAGGTGCTGCCAGACATGCAGCAGCAGGACTCGCTGGTCTGCTAGAAGGCATCCATCTGCCAAGGAGAAAGAGAAACGGCATTTTAGGATATGCTCCGAGTGATGTAAATCACACTTTTCGTCTCTTCCCCAAACAGCACTATTAAAAGTTTTAAGCCATTCAAGTTAAAACAAACAGTGATGGCCATCCACCTCTGCCTGAGCCTAAAAGCTGCTGATCACTCACACTGGAAGGTTTTCCCTTTCCTAACATTTCATATTTTAGTTGTTTTTTCTTAAGTGCAGTCTGTAACTAATTCTGTAACTGGAAGACTCCAACCCGGCCACACAAAGGCACTGTGCCACGGCCGACACAAATACAGCTGCCCTTCTGCACTGTGTACCTACTGTTTTGTTCCCGAGAAAGTAACATCCTCCACAAATAAAAACAAAAATAAAAGCAGGCACTTCCCGAGTAGTTTGTGCGGGATAAGCTATGAAGAAAGCCGTCACTCAAAACACAGTTATGCTGAAGGCTGGTGTAGATAGATGATCTCCAGAGGTCCCTTCCAACCCTAACAATTCTGGGATTCTGTGAAGGTACCCCTACTTCTACCCTGCCTGCACCTCTGCAGAAACAGTGCAAAGCAAAGGGGATGAAATTAAATGAAACATAACATGAGCAAAAGCATACGTCTTACTTTTATGCTTGTTATTCATCATTGGACAAAGTTTACCTTTGAACCTGAATTAATTATTCCTGTTAATTCCTCCTCCTGGGCTCAGTGCAGAAACAGTGCAAAGCAAAGCAAAGGGGATGAAATTAAATGAAACATTAACATGAGCAAAAGCTTTTATGCTTGTTATTCATCATGGGACAAAGTTTACCTTTGAACATGAATTAATTTTTCCTGTTAATTCCTCCTCCTGGGCTCAGCTGCAGCTTTACCATGTGCCAAGGGTGAGTACTAGTTTGGAGATTTCCTACTGGCAGCAGATGATACTGGTTGGCTCTTGCTTGTACCACAGCTACAGAGAAATAAACTGTAAAAGAAATTGGAAACCAGTTGATTTCACTGTTCCCCAAATGAAACACAGTCCTTTCCCACTCCATGTGCAATTACCTGGTCATATTTCATCTTAAAAATGGAGTGCCTTTGCTTTCTTAGAAGTTGCCTTTTTCTGCACTACATACCCCAGGTAGGATACAAACATCATTTACCTTCTGCCTCAGGAGCGTGGGGGCCTTCTTGGCCCCATCCATGGGGACTGCCTGTAAAACCCACCTTTCAACAATCTGAATGTCTGGGGGATATTGTTACAGTGGAGGGGTGTCGTGGTTTAAACCCACTGTACCACTCTATGTTTTATACTGACTCTACATCTATGCTTTTATACTATTTATACAACTGTATCATTATGTTTGGGCTGCATCCGGAAAGCAGGGGAGGTGAACCTTTCCCTTCTCTTCAGCCCTGGTGAGACTCATCCCGAGTTACGTCCATTTCTGGCTCCCCACCACAAGTAAGACATGGACATACTGGAGCAAATCCAATGAAGAACTGCAGACTGCACATCTGTATCACCAGTGGACAAGCAAAACACTTCTGAAATGAAGATGGAGTAACGGAAGGAAAAGATGGAAATCCTGAGGAGGAGGCAGGCTAGTTACAAAGGAATGCAGGCACTTCAGGAAGAGAACTACCTTAGTGGATTATGACCAAATCTGGCATCTAAGCTTTGTACCGACTGAATTTGTTTCAATTCAAATGTAAGACAAAACCAATACTTTTGGTTAAAAAAAAAATAAAATATTAAACCAACAACAAAAAATCAGCATCAAAACCCCCCTCAGATCTACTGCACTAACCATCCATCCAAAGAGTCACAAGAAACTGAATACAATTAATTTCTTTAATGACCAAGAGAAAGAACGAAATAACCACCTTAAAGAACCTGCTGCAGGTGAACGACACAAAGCATCAGTGAACTTCATCTGACAGTCCAAAGTGGCTGCTACTTTTGAGTGCACCAGCTGGGTGCTCAAGTCCAGTCACTAGGTGTGGGGCAGGGCTGCTAAACAATTTGGAAAGCTGAAGTGCATCTCAGGCTGAACGACTCAACTCCTGAGTTGTCTCGGTATCAGCATTATTTCAGCATTGAAAAGATTTCCTTCTAACAGCAGAAGTTCCATTTCTTTCCTCATTTATGACATCACCCACGACCTCAGAACTGCCTCTTGATTACCTCATCATTAGAATCCATACAGTGACCAAGTCAACAGATACATTCCATCCTTAACTCATCCCAGTAAAGGTTATCCAAGCTGCCCATGAAGATCTTTACCACAAAAGAGGATTTTTCTGGTAATGCAGAAAGCTCTCTGTCTATATATAGAGAACTGGTAATACCTGATGAAAGCACAGCCCACCTGCAGCAGAGCCAAAGATGAGGCTAGCCACGGGTTTACTGAAAAACAGTAATTTAAAGTTAAATACTCTCTGGGTTCCATTATCCTGCGATAAATAGCTGTACAGGTAGGAACACCTGCCTTGTGCTGCGTGCCAAGGAAGTGCACTCCATCCAGACCTTCCAAATGCACGACAGGGACATGGAAACATTTTCTAGTCAAGCGCTCCCCCTGTATCTGTGCCCTTTGCTGTGCAATCCTCTGGGCTCTGGGTCCTGCAACTGTGCTTACAACACCTGCACAAAAATACTTGTTTAATTCTTCCTGTGTTAGTACCTATATTCTTCCTATATAGAATACCTATATTTAATTCTTCCTGCTACTCATCAGACCTAAATTAACAGCTCAACATAGCTTAATAGTGTTTATTCAGACAGTTGGAAGAATCAATGATGAACCATGTTAATGAACATCAAAAAATGAAAGAAGCCAGAACGAACCCATCTCTGATTAGCTGAAGGAACACTGGTTCACCGTGTTGGAGTACTCAAAAATGTTCCACAGGACTGTGTCGACTGGAGCCGGGCTCCTGCCCAGCCTCCAAACAAACTCCAAATTTCAACTAAAATGTCTGCTACTCATGCAACTGAGTGGCAGTCTGCTGTGGAAACTCATTCCTTTTACACTGGTTAAGGCCTCACTAAGTCCCTGAAAAATTACAAACTGAACGTGGTGCTACCAACCCCACAAATAATAACAGCTATAGCAAAAAAACCCAAACCCTCCCAATCCAGCACCCCCTGCCCCTCCAACCCCTCTCCCAAACTCAAACACCAGGTTTCCTCCTGTAACAGTATTTTACTAACTGTTAGTACTAACTACCAACCATGTATTAACTATTCTTCTTTTTTCATACAGTGAACAGCTCCCCTCTACCCCATTTTGAAGCCATGATTATCACAGAGGACAGGGAGTCTGGCTGTTAATTGTACTACCTCCCCCCTGAAGAAAAACCTATACCAGAACTCTGAACTACGCACGCTCTACACTCTGGAAGTGAGCAGCAGGGTTGGTAGGATCCTCCCTGTGTACAGCTGAACTAGCGCTATTTTCTTCCCCAGAGGGAGTCGTTTTCACAGCTCTCTAGAACTTAGAGGAGGAAAAAACCCAACAAACCAAAACCCAACTGAAGAAAAAGTCTTAAAAGAATTATCGTCTTTGCCAGAAAACCACTATTAGCCGTGAAAACCCACCCAGATGGAACAGTAAGAACTACTGAGCAAAAGAAGAAAATAAATTGCAAAGACGGAGGCAGTGACTCGGCAGCCTGATGGTTCCCAGACAAACCCTTCTCACCACAAGCACACAGCCTCTCTTCACCTACAAAACCATTCCCACCACCTTTGCTCCATGTGACTGGTCAAAGCGTTAACACAACTCACACCTGAAATAAACCTGAGGAGATCAAAACACAATCACCTATATTATCCTCACCTGTCAATAAGCATCACTCCTCTTGTTAGCAGCTCAGGCACACACATATACTTGCAGTTCTCCTTTAAATGTGTCACACGACATGCAAAAGGCGCTTTGAACTGAATGTAAATGAAAACATCTTAACCCTCAAACACAAAGACCTTGCTTTTCACTCACTTTCTAGCCAAATTTCTTCCCCAAGTAACTTATTTATACAATGCAAATACAAGAGGCAGAAGGATTTGTTGCATATTCTAAGAAAAAGCATTTTAGAAGTATTTAAAGAGATACTGATTGCTTCTAAATGTTAAGGTGGGTTCATAGGACTCAAGATCAATTTAATACAGTCTCCATTATATTTGATCTTTTCTTCTTTAAGCACCCCCCTCAAAACTGAGCCATGCGTGAAAGTAAACTGTCTTCATCCAAATCTAAATTTGACTTCTTAAAGTCAAATATCTTCTCCCAGTCAAACAGTAGGAAGATACTTTTTTCCAAACAAATGGAAAGAGATGCATAGGGGTAACTAATGAAGCACACGCAAGTATGTTAAAACAAATCCCATACACCCAGAAACACCAACAGCTAACAAAACAGAAGGAAGGAACAGAAAGAAGCCAGCACACAAATGGTGCACAGTGGGCAAAGCCTCAGGAAGACGTAATGACCAAACTGCAACTAGGATCTTTCATAATTTTCACAGACAGAATGAAACAAGCACTATCAGTAATGTGCCAAGTCTCAGTGCTCTGGGAAGCCACTAGGGTTAGACAGACACTCACTGACTGGATGAAATCACTTTCTCCATGTGCTGTTTTCAATTTCCCTGCCGTGTGACGAGGCTAACTGCCCACTAACACTACTGGCACCTCCAATGCCACGGGCACCACAAACGGCTCTGATGGTTTGGCAATATACAGGCTAACAGGCTAAGTGCAGACCACCCTTCTGTTCAATTTCCAAGCTGCCTGCATTTTTGGTTATGAAGGCAGAAAGACCCTGTTTGTGCATAGCTACAGGCTTTGAAAGTAACTCCTTCTGACATACCATATTGGATGGACAATGTCATTATTCTACAATCTTAACAATAATATGAAATTCAACCAATGCATTAAATAAGACCATTTCTTCCTCCCTAGTTTCTGGTTTTCTAATAAATAAATATGGGTAGCAGAACAATACAGACT